TGCGTAAAGGGCAAGGCAGAAAACCACATGGGCGTGATCAGTGCCATTGCTAGTGGGGTGAAAGGTGGTGACAATTACAGGGGCCCCCACTGCACAAGGGGCCCCACAAAAACCAGCAGTTATACTATATATGTCACAAATAGACTTTCTCAGGAAACAGGTGAAGGACACAGGCGCAGAGGTTTCAATTAAACAATGTCAAGACAAAACGGAACTCGCCCGGAAAACTCCCGGAACACCGAACCTTAAACAGGAATAATCTTAACATGAACCAAACTAACGTACCATCAAGCATAACGTGCACTCAAACAATGACCTGACACTGGTGAACAGAAATGGAGCAAACTATATACCAGAATAATTGTTCTACTGAACACAGGTGTGGAGAAACTCAGGTAAATCAGATCTTGATTTTCTCCCTCTCTCTGCTGACAGGGGGAGTGCCAACACACAGAGGGAGGGGAGGGACAGAGGGAGGGACTGATCTCTGTTCCTCACACTATAAGCCCCTTTTATGTGAAATAATAATATTTATATTAGTTATGTGCCTGGGATTTTAATGAAAACTACAGAAACATGAAATGTGGTTACAGATGTTTTCCAAATATCTGCTCCTCTCCCCTCCCTAAAATGGTTCAGTCCGATCGAAGTATAGTTATTCAGTTAGTGACAAACATCGGATGGACCCAATGAAGTTGTAAGTCCCACCCCAGCTTGTCAACAGAGCCAATCAGAGTTGAGACGGCACCAAAGGTTAAGGATGAACTTGGTGGAAGGGCAGGAGACTGAGGCTGTGTCCGAAATCGCGTACTATGTTGAGTATGTACTACATTTAAATAAGAACGTACTTTGCGACCGTTAAAAAAGTACGTTCTATATAGTATGAATCTGGGTAGTATGAATGGAGTCCGGACATACTACATGCGCCGTTTAAGAATTTTCTACTTGTATAATCTACCGGGCAAGAGAAGCTTGTTTCCTTCAGGTCCGCGTCCTCCTACCACCACGCATAAAGCAAACCCGCTTTTAAGTCAATCGTTTTATATGAACATTTATATGAACAAATACAATTTAAACACAAAGAAACAAAAAAGTGTTTTCTAAAGTAGTTACACTTTTTATATTTTTTATTAACATTTCTAAAGTAGTTACACTTGAAGAATGCTGCGTCTCCGGTTTCCGCCATTTTTAAATATAAAGAGAACTCCTCTCTCCTGTTGCATCATGGGATAGTAAAGTGTCCATCGTATGCACACTTCAGAATCTCGCCGGAAGTAGTAGGTCATCCGGGTACTTTTCGCATACTGTTTTTTGAATACAATGATTTCGGACATACTACTCTGCTCGCGTACTGTTTTTCGCATACTATAAAGTATGGAAGTACGCGATTTCGGACGCAGCCTGCGTGATTATTTTATGTCAGGTAAATCAGTGTACCAGAAACGCCATGAAAAGAAGGATAGGGAGGCCAGGAGAGTTGCTGTATCCCAGTCGATCAAGACGTTCTTTAACAGGTTAGTGTAGGCTATTGTTATTTATGTTGCTGCCTGATTTACTACCATGGAAAAATGAAAAATATTGTCTACACTTTGATTACCAGCGTGTAGCTGAAATTTGTAAACCTTTTTGATCGCTCACTAATTTCAGTTTATGCAGTTATAATGGCATTTAATGCGTTGAACTCTGTCGTACTGTTTTTTTAATATATTTACTGCTAAGAACATTTGTTTTGATAAAGTTACACGCTACAACACCGGAAGTTAGAGCCAACGGCGTGAAAAGAGTTGAAGATAGCAGTATAAAGACGAACATTTAAGCTCTTGCTAATTTTTCTACCATTGGTTTACAAGGCGAACACGTTTTCACGGTGTTCCATGGTGTTCTATGACACTTGAGAAAGAATAAATATACAAATGATCAGTACGAAGCGTGTGTATCCCAGTCGATCAAGACACTGGGCCATATTCTTCAATGTTTTCCTAATTTATTTCTTAAATTTGTTGCTAAGAAAGGTCCTAAGAAAAGTCTTACTCAAATTCACGAACGTGTTTTTAAAGTGCATAATTGTTCGCACCTACGTTCCTATAATGACGAATACCACGTCTTTGTAAATGGAAAGCGCGTGTCCGTTGTTCCTAATTAGCATATGTAAACGCCCCGGTATTTCCCATAAAAGGGCATTAAACTGCAGGGCGGGGTGGAAACTCATCGTAAAAACGTGGAGAATGCAAAAATGCCGAAATGAAAATGTAAAGACAGTAGAGGATCAGACGCCAAAAGAAAAAAAACGCAGAGACTAATGATTTGTCACGAAAATATCAGCGCGCATATCTGCGTAAGAGTGCTTTTCGCTGTGCGTAGATTCTGTTATTTCCTAAGAACAAATTCCAGATAAGTAAACATTGGTGAATGTCAGAATCTTTGTGGAAACTGCATAAGTGGGTTTTAAGAACAAATTCCTTCTAATGAACGGTTGAAGAATATGGCCCAATCTTTAAGACAGGTTAGCGTAGCCTATTGTTATTTACGTATGTTGCTGCATCACCATCACCACCAAAGTTGTTTTAGTGTTTGCTATCTATTTGTTTTTATATTCAATGATATATTTGTGTATTTTTGCTTTTGCAGTTCAGTAAAAACCTTTAATTATATTTATTTGTTATCAGTTTTGATATTTTGTAAGAAATCTCTATTGTAACACCCAGGGATCTAGCCCTCTCTATGCCGGAGGTGACACACCCTCTGTCAGCAGGGAGAGGGAAAAATCAGGCCAGATCACAGTCACCTGAGTTTTGATCACACCTGGCTCTAATCAGTGAGTGGTTTAATTGTTACCTGTGACTTGAGACCGACGCGAGGTATTGTTCCTGTGTGACTTGCTGAGCGTTACTAATCCAAAGATCTGGTGAGAATATCCTTGTACCAGTCCGTCCGCCTGTCCGTGTACCCCGTTACTGCCTAATCCCTCTGCTTTGTACCTCCAGTGATCTCCGTGCCTGACTACCTGCCTGTTTGACCGACTCTGACTTCGTCTGCTCCCCTGTACTGTGCATGTACTCTGTTATACCGGCTTCGACCCCCGCCTGTCTGACTATTCTCTTGCCTGTCATTTAATAAATCGACCTCGCTCTGTCGCGAGTGGAATCCTATCCACCTATCTGTGGCATTCATTACAGGGTACCTCGCCGCAAGATGGATCCAGCGGAGGAACCGGAGCGAGATAGTCAGCCGGGACCGAGTAACCCGCAGGCAGTGGCCACAGATCCTATGAACCCAAGAGCTTCGGAACCACCCATCTGTCTGCCGAATAAATACGACGGGACTCCAGGCAAGTATCAAGGGTTTCTTCTACAGTGCTCCCTTTACGCCAACCATCATCCGGAGCAGTTCCCCAACGACCAGAGAAAGGTGGATTTTGCCATCTCGTTGTTAACGGGTAAAGCCTTGGATTGGGCGACTGCCTTATGGACGGCGGACTGTCCGGAGCTCACTGTGGAGTCTCAGTTTACTGCCCTGTTCCGAGAAGTGTTTGATCACCCTGTGTCGGGAAGAACCGTTGGGGACCAGCTGTGAGAACTACGTCAGGGATCACGCAGAGTGGCAGATTATGCTCTGGAGTTCCGCACCTTGGCGGCCGCAGCGGATGGAGTAATTCTGCGCTTCTGACAATGTACCGACGAGGACTCAGCAGGGTTTTACAGGCGGAGCTGGCCTGCTGAGGGGACGTTTCGGAGTTAAGCCAATATATCCGCATGTCAATTGCCATCGACAACCTGTTGCTTGAGCGGCGGAATCCGGTAAGGATGGAGTATAAACGGAGTCCACCGGCACATCCTTCAACAAGAGAGAGGGGATGAGAGTGAGCCGATGCAGTTGGGACGTTCGCCTCTAACACAGTCGGAGAGACGTCGTCGACAAAGAGGGGCTATGCTTGTACTGCGGAGAGGCCGGACATATGGTGAACCAGTGCAAACAGAGGCCACCACGTTACCAAGAGCGCCAGTACCGATCTGACACTTCGGTAAGCCCTACTAACCGTTTTGACATCACATCCAAACAGCTTTATGTGCCCGTTTCTCTGTTTGTGAGAAGAAAAGGAGTATTGCCTGGATGGTCTAGTGGACTCGGGTGCAGCTGGGAACTTTATTGATGGCGATCTGGCAACCAAGTTGGGAATCAGGACCTTTCCGATTGAACCTCCGTTACGCATACATACACTGGACGGGAAGCCTTTGGGGACAGGTTATGTAAACCAACGCACAGCCGTAAACGAGATGAAGGTGGGGGCATTACATTCCGAAAAAGTAATCTGCTTGTATTATCTACCCCCAGGAGCCTCTAGTTCTGGGTCATCCGTGGCTATGTCAGCATAACCCTGTGATCTCGTGGAGAGTGGGGAAGATTCTATCATGGAGTAAGGACTGCCGGATTCAATGCCTGAGTCTGCCCTGCAAAGCTACGTCCGTAGAGGATGCGGGGAATACCTCCTGTTCTTCTCTACCCCCTGTCTATGCTGAGTTTTCTCAGGTCTGCTCTAAGGAGAAAGCCTCTACCTTGCCTCCCCACCAATCCTGGGACTGTGCCATAGATCTACTGTCGGATGCCAAACTACCCCGGGGACGCATTTACCCGTTATCACAGCCCGAGCGGGAGGCGATGAACCACTATATCGATGAGGCGCTCAGTCAGGGAGCTATTCGACCCTCTACGTCTCCAGCAGCGTCCAGTTTCTTTTTTGTCAAAAAGAAGGACGGAGGGCTCCGTCCATGTATCGATTATCGAGGACTGAACGATGTCACAGTCAAGTAACGGTACCCATTGCCTTTAATACCAGCTGCTCTTGAACAGGTGGGACAGGCCACTATATACAGAAAGTTGGATCTACGAAGCGCCTACAATCTGGTGAGAATTCGGGAGGGAGACGAATGGAAGACAGCGTTCATTACTCATCGGGGGCATTATGAATACTGTGTGATGCCTTACGGCCTGACTAACCGCTCAGCCCTTTTAAATAGGGGTATGATTCTCGCTTCGGGTGCGAGAGGTCTCGGGTTCAAATCCCGGACGAGCCCCCACCTGTTACGTTTCCCCTTCTAGGGTAGGGTACGCAACCCCCGTTTTCGTGAGCCCCTGTTGAGTGGCATGCAAAGGTGTAGGGTCGAGGGTGCAAATAAGGACAACCAACACAAGACTATTGTTAATGAACAAAGGAGTTTATTTATCTCCCTATTATAAAGGCAGGGAAAAAGGGCTGAGCGGAACCAAAGCAAAGAACCTAACATAAACGGGCAACACTTCCCTAATCTTAACTAAATCCCCCCTTTAAACTAACCAGAGCACGGATGAGGCTCTCTAACAAAAATACAGGGGGTGGTCCGCCCAGGTCTTGCCTAGTGTGTTTAGACAGAGGTCTGCTAAGGGAGATGTAAACCCATGGGCCTCTTGCCTAACACATTCCCTTTTCCCCTGAAACAGAAGAAAAAAGGTAATTAACCCAAATAATAAAGATGCCTGGTTACAGACAACAACCAAACAAATACACACAACAGATCACAAACACAATGTTACTACACCAAAACACATATACCATGAACAGCACTATTCCACCAAAACACAACTCTAATAATAAGTGCTCTCTCTATGTTTACAGTACTCACTACACCGAATAGACAGACAGCGCTCCAACACAAGCGACCCAGCGAGAGAGTCAGAGAGACAGCCTCTCCCTGAACACAAAGCCTAAATAGCCACCGACACAGCTGCATCCACTGACGAAGAAAGGCGGAGTCCGGTCCTCAATCTGGAAGGTGATTACCCAATCCGCTGCTTGGGGAGGATATGAGCCATGTCTGCAACAGAACACAACGGAAACACACACAGAACACACAAACTCCCTGGGGAACGTAACAGACCACTCGGGCGTTAAGATGGACGGCAGCGGCGCACCGGGCGTTCGAGGAGTTGAAGACGCGCTTTACTACAGCCCCCATTCTGTGTCAACCGGAAGCTTCACAACCCTTCACAGTGGAGGTGGATGCCTCGGAGGTGAGAGTGGGAGCGGTATTACCACAGCGCCAGGGAATACCTTCAAAACTCGGCCCTTGTGCTTTCTTTTCAAAGAAGTTAAACCCGGCGGAGAGAAATTATGACGTCGGCAATCGGGAGCTGCTAGCCATTAAGCTGGCATTGGAAGAGTGGAGACATTGGCTGGAGGGTGCCGCACACCCCTTCGTGGTTTATACAGATCATCGGAACCTGGAGTAAATAAAATAAATCGACCTCGCTCTATCGCGAGTGGAATCCTATCCACCTGTCTGTGGCATTCATTACACTTATTAGGTTACATGTGGGCCTCCATGCTCATGTATTGTGCAGTATATGATGATGTGGGGTGGTGGGGGCCCACATCAATATTATTTAAGGGGGCCCCCTCCATGCTCATGTATTGTGCAGTATATGATGAGGGAGGTGGGGGCCCACATCAATATTTATTAAGGGAGCCCCGAATCCTCTAGCTACGGCCCTGGGCAGCGTGATTTCAGATTTCACTGTCTTAAAAACGATCATGTGTCTATAATTGATATCCTGACATGGGCAATGGAATACTTTAGTAAACCTTTGTCAGTCAACACCAATGCTGCCTCCACAGATACAAGTTAAGGCTTTACTATGCAAAGCAGAAGCCACACAACAACACTGTTCAGAAGCACCGCCAACTTCTCTGAGCTGACTCTCATCTGTGATGGACATTTCTATGCGTAGCAAGTGAAATCTTGTTTAGTGGTCCAATGGGTCAATATTTCCAATATTTCTTTGACAGAACAGCCATTGTGTTCCCTGGGCCAGAGAGAATATGGACCATCAATGACAGCCCCTGTCATGGTGTTTCAGTGCCTATGGCATGGGGAACAACGACATGGTATGGGTGTGTGTCAGTGCCTATGGCATGGGGAACAACGACATGGTACGGGTGTGTGTCAGTGCCTATGGCATGGGGAACAACGACATGGTACGGGTGTGTGTCAGTGCCTATGGCATGGGGAACAACGACATGGTACGGGTGTGTGTCAGTGCCTATGGCATGGGGAACAACGACATGGTACGGGTGTGTGTCAGTGCCTATGGCATGGGGAACAACGACATGGTACGGGTGTGTGTCAGTGCCTATGGCATGGGGAACAACGACATGGTACGGGTGTGTGTCAGTGCCTATGGCATGGGGAACAACGGCATGGTACGGGTGTGTGTCAGTGCCTATGGCATGGGGAACAACGACATGGTACGGGTGTGTGTCAGTGCCTATGGCATGGGGAACAACGACATGGTACGGGTGTGTGTCAGTGCCTATGGCATGGGGAACAACGACATGGTACGGGTGTGTGTCAGTGCCTATGGCATGGGGAACAACGACATGGTACGGGTGTGTGTCAGTGCCTATGGCATGGGGAACAACGACATGGTACGGGTGTGTGTCAGTGCCTATGGGATGGGGAACAACGACATGGTACGGGTGTGTGTCAGTGCCTATGGGATGGGGAACAACGACATGGTACGAGTGTGTGTCAGTGCCTATGGGATGGGGAACAACGACATGGTACGAGTGTGTGTCAGTGCCTATGGGATGGGGAACAACGACATGGTACGAGTGTGTGTCAGTGCCTATGGGATAAGGAACAACGACATGGTACGGGTGTGTGTCAGTGCCTATGGGATGGGGAACAACGACATGGTACGGGTGTGTGTCAGTGCCTATGGGATGGGGAACAACACAGTATTGCTGTTATAGAGTGGTAAACAGTCTACTGTGCCAATTCTTTGGGAGTATGTTGCACCATCAGATTTGAAATTAGTGTATCTTTTTAAAAATATTAATGAAATGGTTTCCCAACTTCGCTGACTGTGTGCAAGAGAATGGGTAAAATATGTGGCCTTTGATTGACATAGTTCTCCAACATATTTCAGTGCATTTGTTTGTCTCATAAATCCCTTCAGTTGTCCAGGAAAAGACCATTCAGTTGAAATGGAGGAGCAGTTGGTCGAATTAAAGAGTGACACCAGATTGCAACACCTCAGCTCTTGCTCTCTGCCTTCGTTTTGGTTGAGTGTGACGACTGAATATCCTTGGTTGTCTGACGTTGACCTCAAATTACTTCTTTCCTGTGCCTCAACCTATCTGTGCGAGGCGGGTATTCAAGATTGACTGCCTTTAAAAGCATGTACTGAAATCGTCTCCAGGTGGAGGATGACATCAGGCTCATGCTGTGCAACATTGAACCGTGAATCGTGCTCTTTTGTAAAAAGAAGCAGGCGTCCCACTGACTGATATAACAATGTCATGGCCAACGAGACACACACTGCCGTACTTCTTATTCAAATGTTTTTAGAACCTAAAGTTCCCTTGTTGAAAGTTGTTAAAGTGTTCAGAAACATTTTGCATCATTTCGGGGCATGTTTCATACCTGACAGTTACACACAAAATCATAAATGGTATGAAAATGTATTTAAAAGTATAAAAACACAAAAGGAAAAAAATATATATCTATCCACCTATTCATCCATCCATCTATTCACCCATATACCTAGATAAAATAGATTATAGATATAACGCATTGAGATTTAATATAGAATGGATAATCCTTTTATCATCTCATCCACAGGTATTGGTGCTGGTAGGACACAGGTGTTTGTGCTGATTGGACACAGGCGTTGGTGCTGGTAGAACACAGGTGTTGGTGCTGGTAGGACACAGGCGTTGGTGCTGGTTGGACACAGGCGTTGGTGCTGGTAGGACACAGGCGTTGGTGCTGGTAGGACACAGGCGTTGGTGCTGGTTGGACACAGGCGTTGGTGCTGGTAGGACACAGGTATTGGTGCTGGTAGGACACAGGTATTGGTGCTGGTAGGACACAGGTATTGGTGCTGGTAGGACACAGGTATTGGTGCTGGTAGGACACAGGTATTGGTGCTGGTAGGACACAGGTATTGGTGCTGGTAGAACACAGGCGTTGGTGCAAAACTCTTCTCATGTCATATAAAAACAACAAAACTGCAGCAAACAACCCTGTGAACAAAGAGAACTAATGAAACAAAATGAGGAACAGCTGAAACTGATAATTACTACTAAAGTAATTATGGAAGGTGGCCTAGTGGTTAGGGAATAGGGCTTGGGTCTGGAAAGTCCCTGGTTATAATCCCCCCACCATCATAAAAACCTTAGTCGTTCTTTCCTTGAGCAAGACAGTTAACACTTAAATGCTCCCCGGCCATCGGTGACGTGGAAGTCGAATCAGGTAACTGATTAGGGCTGCCCCCTGTACCTCATGTAACTGATTAGGTCTGCCCCCTGTACCTCAGGTAACTGATTAGGGCTGCCCCCTGCACCTCAGGTAACTGATTATGGCTGCCCCCTGTACCTCAGGTAACTGATTAGGACTGCCCCCTGTACCTCAGGTAACTGATTAGGGCTGCCCCCTGTACCTCAGGTAACTGATTAGGGCTGCCCCCTGTACCTCAGGTAACTGATTAGGGCTGCCCCCTGCACCTCAGGTAACTGATTAGGGCCGCCCCCTGTACCTCAGGTAACTGATTAGGGCTGCCCCCTGCACCTCAGGTAACTGATTAGGGCTGCCCCCTGCACCTCAGGTAACTGATTAGGGCTGCCCCCTGTACCTCAGGTAACTGATTATGGCTGCCCCCTGTACCTCAGGTAATTGATGAGGGCGGCCCCCTGCACCTCAGGTAACTGATTATGGCTGCCCCCTGTACCTCAGGTAATTGATGAGGGCTGCCCCCTGTACCTCAGGTAAATGATTATGGCTGCCCCGTGCACCTCGGGTAACTGATTAGGGCTGCCCCGTGCACCTCGGGTAACTGATTAGGGCTGCCCCCTGTACCTCAGGTAACTGATTAGGGCTGCCCCCTGCACCTCAGGTAACTGATTAGGGCTGCCCCCTGTACCTCAGGTAACTGATTAGGGCTGCCACCTGCACCTCAGGTAACTGATTAGGACTGCCTCCTGTACCTCGTGTAACTGATTAGGGCCGCCCCCTGCACCTCAGGTAACTGATTAGGG